GACGGGCAGGACAGGAGACAGCCGGCCGGTCCCCCAGCTGCAAACGATGCTCCGGCAGTGCCAGCAGAGCACAGCACCCTCGTCCCAAACCCCTCTGCCCCATCTTGCTGCAGAGAGGACCACAGCCCCAGCGCTGCACGCCCCAGGACTGCATTGCTGCTGGTCGGGATAGATGAGCAGAGTCGTCCTGCTCGGAGAAATCCCGCGGGCTGCCTCCTCCGGCAGAGCCCCAGCAGCCCCAGCAGCAGCGCTGCAGATTTGGGAGGGCACTGGGGCTTCAGGGTGGTTACCAGCGCTTGGTTATCTGGGTCCTCAGTGGGGTCTGGGATTACGTTTTTAACTCTCAGGCTCAGATGTGATGCAGCCATTCCTTGTGCTCCAGGGAAACAGGATCAAAGTTTCCGGGTGCCGCTTTCTCCCCTTTTTCGGCCGCTCCAGGCTGCAGCAAAGTGCCATTGAAGATGGGAGGACTTTCATGTGGGGATTTCTCTTCTTCAGATCTTCAAAGAAATCCAGCAATCAAACAGGTAGTAGTGGAGGCACCCTAAGAAAAAAAAAAAAAAGCCCTACTTTGAAAGCATCACATGCAAAAGAAACATCTAAACTTTGTTGTTTTAATTGTTCTGGCACTCAAAGTTACGACAAAATGTCTCGGAAATATTGTTGGCTCTGGGCCCACGATGTGTCAGACAGACACAGAAATGTTTCAGGCAGAAAACCTGAGGAAAATTTAAAAAAAGGAAGGAACAGCAGCGTGGCTCAGGCATGGCAGCCAGGCAGATGACAGCCGGTGCGCAGCTGATAGGAAAACTCCAGAGCACCCAGGGCATCCACCTGCGTTCCCTTGAGCCACTTCATGCCCTGGGCATCGTTAGGAGCCGACTGCTAACGAGAGCAGGCTGTGGCCCTGCCACCATCTCCTTTCCACCGATACGAGAGCGGTTCTTGCAAGCGCCAGCAGAAACGCCAGCTGCACCCCTGTGCTACTCGCAGCCGCTTTCTCAACGGTTACGTCCAAGTGGCTTTTGCTGCGGGCTGTCCCTGGGGGTCACAGGCATTCCCCCCTCCTTGGGAAGGCACACGTCCCCCTTCCCACGCCGCGTCCCCCCCGAGCCTGCTCTGCCTGCCCCGCTCCGAGACCCAAATATGGGCTCGGCGCATCCAGACTCCCCGGCACAAGCCCGGACAGGATCGCGGTGCCGTGGGGTGACTCAGGGCCCCGGCAGCTCCCCGGGGCCAGGGGAGCGCTGACAGCTCCCCTCTGCTGGGAAATCTGGCCCCGTCCGGGCAGGATCTGCTGGGAGTGGTGGTGGAGCCGCTCACTTCCGCTCCTCCAAGCAGTTCGCCACTGTCCCGGACCCAAAATACCATTTTTTTTCCCTTTTTCAGGGCACACGGGCACCAGGGCTGCTTGTGGATGTCGCACGGGGATGTGGCTCCCGAAACAGCCCCCAGATGAGTGGGGGTTATAGGTCTGGGCCGGCGCATGGTGCAGCACACCTGGGGTGCAAGTGACCCACCAAGCCACAGCCATGCCATCCACCCCACCCCCCCACCTGGAAAAATCCCTGGAAACACCCAATTTTCACGCATGAAAATCCCCACACCTGCCCTCTGGCCATATCCACAGCACCAGTCCCTGGGGTGCAGCCAGCAGGGATGTACCAGCTGCCCCCCCCGTAGCCCCATAGGACCCCCCGAAGGGGTCCAGGCTGTCCCCCAGCAGCCACGATGCTTACTGCGGGCCAGCTTCACCCAGATAAACCCCTCGGGACAGTGACAAGGGAAGCTTGCACCGGTTGGTATAAATCCACAGGGCACCGTGCTGTGCTCCAAGCACTTCAGCGTTACCTCATCACCCGGGACAATTTATCTTTGGGTGCTTCTCCCCGTTTCCCTCTCCCCCAAGCCAGACCAGGAGGAACATGGCTCTGTTCCCACACGCCGAGGCAGCACTGCCGGTGCTGGCAGCAATCGCAGCAGGTCGGCTGAAGTCACCCCCAAAAAATGGCATTTTCTCAGCAAAATGCCGCTGAGGTCATTTTCACCCGCTTCAAACACCCACGGCGGGGGGACGGCTCTGTGCTAAGCAGCTCCCGGGAGCTCGGGGAGGCTGGATGGAAGCAGAGAGTTTGCGAATCCTCGGGATGAAAGGGCTGAATAAAAGCAAGCCGTTAATAATAGTCGTGGCCTGAAAGGGGGGCTCAGCCCCCAGCTATGGGGGGGGGGGGCGGCCGCCGTACGGGAGGGGCAGAGGCAGCAGAAATCAGGGCTGGGATGAAAGGAGCGTTTCCAAGGGCTGGTGGGGGAATGTGGGGAGCATGGGAGGGGGCCAGCAGCAGGGACAGGGGACAGTCACTGCAGCCCCCCCCCCCAAGGTGCCTTTGGGCTGAGACTCCCTCCTTCACCTGCTCATCCAGCCCTGGGAGTCTCTGACGGCATTTCTCACCCTTGCACATCGCTGTGGCCCAGGACAGGGTGGGCAGGGGCTCTGCTCACCACCGCAGCCCTGAGCAAGCCGGGGTTTGGCTGAGATGACCAAGACTCTGTGCCGAAACCAGTGCAAACAGCAGCCGATGCCCCCGGGACACGTGTGACAGGGTGGTCAAGCGTGTGCCTTGCACCCATGTACACCCAGAGCTGCCCCAGCTCAGCCCAGCTCTGAAAGCAGCACGCAAGAATATTTCCTTGCAAATCATTAATAAAACAGGACCGCAGCACGCCGGGATGCTCCAGAACCCACAAACCCACAGCTGCTTTCCAAAAAGGAGGCTCTGTCCCTCGGTGGCTGTTAAAAACTCAGCCCAACCTGATGCTCCGTGCCCCGGACCCGTGGGTGCTGCAGCCCCCAGCCCACCCCATCCCACCTCGGCAACCCGCAGGGTACTGGGACTTTGCCCTGGCTAAGCTGGATGCCCTCGGAGCGGTTTTAAGCGCTCCAGCGTTTCTTAATGGCGCGGGAAGCACGCGGGGAATGCGCGGCGGGGGGCAGAGCGTGCATGGGCCCCCCCCATGGCTTCAGCCGCGTGGGACGAGGGGCGGCATTCCTGGCAGGCAGCCCTGTCACCCTGCCCCTGCGGCTCAGCTTCTCCACGGTGGGGCCGAGGAGACCTGGAACGTCTCTTATTAACCCAACTGGAACTGGGAAATCGTTACAGTGCTTTGTAGAGCAATAAAACTGGTTTCAATGCCACAGCAGGAGAAGAGGATAAAGGAAGCTGGGGGAAAGGGCCAGAGAGGTGACAGCCCTGTACGTGCTGTGGCCAAGCTCCGGCTGCCGGCGCTCGATCTCACTCGGTTTTTCCACCGGCAGAGGTACCTGCAGGCACTGAGAGAGGAGATGGCAGCTGCCCAGGAGGCAGCTCCTGCCGCCGAGACCTGCAGATATTTCACAAACCTAAACCCACGCACCACCAGCATTGTGAAAGCACGTTTCGGGAGCGGAGCTGGGACAGGAGGGCTTTCCGTGGTGGGGAGGGGGCAATGGGTCCATCATCCTCAACAGCCATCTGCCTCCGTCACAGCTTTTCCTAAACTTTGGGTTCTGCTTGTTCATTGCCCTCAGGGTCAGGGGCACAGAACTGGCAGCATCGCTGCACCAGTGCCGTGGTACCCCGACAGCAGGTCCTGCCTCCAGCCAGTCCCCCCTCGCTGGGTCACGCAGCAGCAGCTGCTCAGCCTTAAAAACTACAGCCAGTCACCCTCCCGGTGGGCGCTGAGCCCCCACATAAGGGATACACCAAGTCACAGCTCAGCACCATGCAGCGCTGGGGGGAGGCACCAGTTTAAGCCCACACAGCAGCCTCAGCACTGGAGAAGGGGCACGTGCTGGAGCCCTGAACGAGTGGAGCACACGCTGCATGGAGATGTTACACCCTGCAGGACATGCGTCCAGAGCTAACTCATGCTCACCTAGACTGGAGCGAGACCCAGCACTGTGCACAGCACCATCCTGCCAGGAGCAGCACAGGAGCCAGGAGACACCAGGACAGGCAGCTCGAGGTAGCAGCACCCCATTACACCTCCCTGCCTGCGCCGAGCTGCAGTGGCACAGCAATCAAGAGAACAACTCAGATCTACCATTTGCTTTTAATTTAATGGTTTTCTCAAGACCGTTTTGTAGGAAGGACGGGAAAACACACACACCCTGGAGAAGGGAAAGGGCCAGCGAACACGCGGTAATAGTGCAACGGAGCTTCGACGTGCGGCACGTGAGACAATGGCACAGACACCTGCACCTCCCCGTGAAAAACATCTGGGTGGCCATTATGGAGCCAGACACATCCCATGCTGCTGAAGTTTTACATCAAGTTGGACAAAGGCAATAAATAAAGAAGTGGTGCCTCAAAGGCACTTTTTTTTCCTCCTTTCAAAAAAAAAAAAAAAAAAAAAAAAAAAAAGAAGATGTTGGCATCTGAGTGTGTTCTCACACCAGGGTTTCGGCCAGATCCAGTTGGGTTTCTCAGCGCAGGAGAGGGAAGAGCCGGGGCCTGGGCAGTTTGGACCCTTTTGCCAGCACGTCCTGAGAGCCCAGCCCGCAGGGAGCAGCCAGGGCAGCACCTTTCAGCCCCTCGCCAGCACCCTGCTACATCTCCAGCTTGTTTGAGGTATATCACCTGCCCCATCTGTTATCTTGTGCAGCCAAAAAACAGTGCAAAGAAAAAAAAAAAAAATCCCCCCAACCCTTTAGTTTCTCCCCCCAGTGAGATGAGCCTGTTTACAAGGGAAGGATGGCAGCGAGGAGCCTCCGGGACCCCCCAGCCCCTCCACAGGGGCAGTGGCCGGATCACTCAGGGCTTTGGTCCATTTAATGTCCTAGCCCTGGGGCATCCCCCCACCAGTGCCCCACAGCCACTGCAGCTCCCTTCCCCGCCTGCACCCGAGGCTGCAAAATAAATACATGGGACATGGCTCAGCAGCACCGGCAGCCCCGGGGCACGGAGGGCTCAGCCCCCTCCCCAACACACACCACCCCAGGGAGCCCTGCCAGGGGGGTGCCTTCAGCTCAACTTCATGCTGATGGCCACGGCACGCCGGTAAACCTCCGTGACATTGTCACAGCCCGCCAGGGACAAGCTGCTTTCTTGCAGGGGACTCCGGCAATGGGTCACAGTCCAGCGGCGCAGCCTGCGCCCTTCCTCTATCTCCTCCTCCTCTTCCAGCCGGAGGAGGCTGTCGGCAGAGATGCAACCCCGCATGCCCCCGCTGCCGTGGGGGACGCGGGTGGGCAGGTCGAGCTGGTCGAAAGACTCCGTGGAGAGGATGCTGTCCTCGCTCACGGCGCTGGATGGGCGGGCACGGGGAGCCTGGGGCAGGGGCACTTCACCGAAGCCCCCAAAACCCTGCCCGGGGAGACTCTCTGGCTCGGTGCTGCTAGAGGAGTACTTGCTGTTGTGCTTGAGGATGCCTTTCCGACGAGCAGTGAGACCCTGGGGGCCCTGCTCTGGGGAGGGGTTGTCAGCAAACACGCTCCCATCAAGGTCCAAGCTCCCCGCATCCAGAACATCCCCAGACTCGCAGCACTCCAGGGATGAGTAGTATCCCGACTCCCTCGTCGAGGGCTTTTTCAGTATTCCCTTCTTGGGCGCAGCCGTGGGCACCGCTCCAACGCCCGTGTTGCAAGGCAGCATCCCGGAGGACAGGATCCGGGTGAGACCCGCAGCAGCCACCTCACCATCCTCATCCCTCGCCTCTCCTACGGGCACTGCCGATGAGGGGCCGGGGCCAGGCACCTTCTGCTCGCAGGAGTTTCTCTTCTTCAGGATGCCCTTGGGCCGCTTGAGAATGGACTTGGAGGGGTTCTCCGGGGCCAGGGCCACCTCCTGCAGCGCGTGGGAGACGTCGTTCTCCTTCTTGGACTTCTTGAGGGAGCGCTGCCGCTCCAGGGCCACGCCGGGGATGTGCTGCTTCAAGAAGCATCGCACCTTGGAGCTGTTCTCCAGGAGGGGCCGGGAGGAACGGCGAAGCCACTCTGCCACCGTGGCCAGGGGGGACTCGCTCTCCCGCAGCAGCTCTTGCTCCCCAATGGGCACTTTGTAGCCCCAGTTCACCCACCAATGCGTGGCGATGTCCTCGATGGTGGCGCGGCGCTCTGGGTTCACCATCAGCATCCACCGAATCAGCCCGCAGGCATCTGGGGAAGAGGCAGGTCAGCCACCGAAGGGAACATGCAGAGAGAGGGGGGAGTGCACGGGGTGGTGGGGGTCTGCTTACCCGACAGCTTTGTGGGCTCCCGGTAGTCCCCGCTCGTGATCTGCTTGACCAGAGTCTTGTAGTCATGGCCATCGAACGGCATCGTGCCATGGACCAGGATGTAGAGGAGAACGCCCAGGGACCAGCTGTCCACCTGCCAGAGGGACAGACGAGCCTGGAGGGGGGGGCAGCAGGACCGGGCTGCCCTGGCCCCCACCCTGGCTGGGTAGGACCCCCCAGCAGAGCCTCAGCAGCAGCTCCTGGGGTGGATGGAGCGTGGGGCAGGACCAGCTCCAGCCACCTGCATCCCACCACGTTTGCCCCACTGTGGCTGCCACACACCAGCCACGTGGCGCTTGGTCTTAGGGGACCCGTTACCCCAAACCACAGAGGCAGAGCTCTGCCTACAATGCTCTCCTGGGAAAACACCCTGCGCTTTCCCAAGTCCAAGCGAAGAGGAAGCAAGAGATTCCCGCACACAGGAGGCGAGACACAACCTACCTCTGGGCCCTTGTACGGCCTCCCATTGATGATTTCGGGGGATGCGTAGAGAGGGCTGCCGCAGTAAGTCTGCAGAAGTTTGTCCTGCTGGTAGACGTTGGACAGGCCAAAGTCTGCAATCTAGAGAGACATTTATAGCTGTTACCAAGCAGCAAAGCTCCCTTCCGCGGGTGGAGCAGCATTGCCACCTGAAGCTCTCCAGCTGCAAGCTTGACTGAAACCAGGTCTGCCCTTGGCACCCTGGTCCTGGGTGCCCTCAGTCTCCTCAGGGAGCAGCAGCTGCCTGGCTTTCCACCCCCCGAGGCTGTTCCTGCCCCTCTCCCCCTCCCAGAAAACTCATCCCAGCCACTGCAGCAGCCGCCCTGCACCTCTACCCCTCCAGCTCCATCATGCTGGGAGCAAAGGCAGTTGCAAAGGTGCGGTTAGAGGGAAAGCTGCCGGGCTCTCCTCCAGCTCATTCACAGCCACACCAGGCTGCTTCAGTCCCTATCTGCTCCGCCTAGCACACAGGCATTCATTATCCTCATTATACCCGTCACCTCTCAGCGAGCAGAAGTTACAGTCCTTGCTTGCAAGCTCCCAATTGCAAAATTACCCCTTACAGAGATAAAGCCCCGCAGCCTGTTTTATCACCAACCACACCGATTCCCAGCCGTGGCCGTGCCCTTCCTCCCCAGGCGGCTGCAGCGCTCCTGGCCGAGGCGAAAAGCATCGCTCAGGGCCAGTGGAGCCAGGAGCTGCCCTGCACCAGCCTGACCAACATGTAGGGGGACCAGGACTTTCACTGGGAGAGCCCTTTCTTATCCAGCCAGTCGTGCTTTGACCTCAGCGTTCAGACTTTGCCCTCTTATCAGCAGTCAGATATACGTTATGGCTTTAATAGGCAGCATGGAGGCTCTGCCTCTGCAGCCTCTCCCGCTCTGCTAGCGGGGGGGCACGTACAGGCACCCTCCTGGCTCCCCATCTCCTGAGAAAACAGCAGTGCAGGCCGATGCCAGCGGTCCCAGAGCTGCGGAGAAGCACATGCCCTGGGGGGACTGGGGTGTTGTGGCCACCCCCGGTCCATCCGCGCCGGGCAGCATCCCTCGGACCCCTTTGCTGGGTGACACCCAAGGCACGGCCAGGCTCTGCCAGCCTCTCACCTTGATGTTCCCGTTTGTATCGAGAAGGATGTTCTCCAGCTTCAGGTCCCTGTGAACGATCCCGTTCTGCACGAGAGAAGGGAGAGCCGGGTTTAGTTTACAGCCTGTTTGAGGAAGGGAAAGTCGGGCAACACGGGGAGGTCACTGCCGTTCACCGGCACAGCGGCATGCAAACAGGACATGATGACAGCAATCAGAGGAGCGGTTAATAACCCTGGATGCATTGACGACAGGCTGTAAACCATGTCCCGACATGGGTGCTACCAGCCCTCTGTGCTGCTCAGGAAAGTGAGCAGGGTGGCACCCCGCACCAGCGCCAGGCGCCGTGCTGGGCTCCTGCACCCTCCCCAGCCACACACCCGTGAGAGCGGCTGGTGCCAGCTCCTGCCAGGGCACGGTCGGCACAGCTCCGTGCTTTGCCGGGACCTTCTGCTTCCCAGCTAAGCAAGACCCCAGTTTCCTTTGGGTTCAGGAGGTGCCCTGCAACACCCCCTTTCGTGCCAAGGGCATGCAGGTACCCAGGACCAAGGCATGGCCTTTGAGCATCCTCCAGGGAGACCCACAGGCTCGAGGGTCCTTCCAGGGCAGGCACAGCTCATCCCACAGCCCCAGGCAGGGCCCTATAGCTTTACATCCCTTTCAGGGGACAAGAAGGGTGAGCCAGGGCTCTGCCTTCAGCCCTGGCAGACACAGCCCTGGGCATCTCCCTCTGGGCAGGTGGGATGGGAGTCGGTGACTCTCTGGTGGGGTTAGCCAGCCCCACAGTGCAGCAGAGGAAAGCCAAGGCAAGGAATTCCCAAAGGCTGCTTGGGCACTGCCTCCCTGCAAGCCCAAGGGCAGCTGCACCCTCCAGATCAGTGGCAGGATCAACCCCTCTCCTGGGAAAGGCCAACGGCCACGAGTTCCCTTCACCTCCCAGCCCAGGCTGAGCTTCCCCATCGGGCACTGGATCCCTACCCAGCCCCGGCTGCTGCTCCTCTGCCCGGAGCTGGCCCTGCCGAGCACACAGGAGCCGATCCCCCCGCTCTCCCCCCGGGAAGGCAGTGGGAAACGCGGTGCCGACCCACCTTGTGGCAGTAGTAGACGGCCGACACGACCTGCCTGAAGAAGTGGCGTGCCTCCTGCTCCGTCAGCCGCTGCCGCTCGCTGATGTAGTCATACAGGTCCCCCTTGCTGGCGTACTCCATCACGATGACGATCTTGCTGCTGTTCTCAAACACTGTGCGGAGACGGGAAGCCACAGGCTGTTAGGAGGGATGCTCAGAGCTAAGGGACTTCTCGTTAGCATGTGTCTTTTAATGAGCAGGCGGAGCACTGACCGACTAACACACTGCCTGCCCCACTGCCTGTGCCCTCAGTTTAGCAAAACAGAGGGTGTCGGGGTTCCTGCAGGTACCTGCAGGTCGGAGGGGGACGGCCAGAGCTGCCACCCGCACCCCACAGTGCCACCGGGGCTGCTGGCCAAGCAGCCTGTGCAGCCGCAGAGCACAGGAGAAAGGGCTCTGCTCTGCCAGAAGGTGACTGAGACGTGTGGTTCTTTGCTAGATAGAGCCCTGCCAAGGGGGAAGGCGACGGAGCTACTGGCTGGCGCAGCCGGGTGGCCTTTCTGCGTGTTCCCATTGCTCCCAACAAGGCTCCGGCTCAAGCCAAGAGACGGAGCATTTTTCTTCCTGTTTGCAGAAAGCTACCTCAATATTTTTGAATTCCAGCAGTCAGCGTGACTCAGTCCTTGCAAACGCTGCTGCGTATGAACCGCCAATCCACTTGCTTTTGTTTAGAGGACATGGATACCTCACATACACCAGCGAGGCGGCGATAACGCAGGCACCGACCACACGCCAGCACAGCGCAACGAACCCCAGCCCTGAGGAAGAGCACGGGGCACGCCGGGTTTGCAGCCAAAGGACTCGGCATTTAAGCAAAGGCTGATCCAGCTGGAGAGTTGCTCTAAGTCTGGTCGTAGGTAAAACTTGAGAAATTCCCCTTTGATTGGCGCTGCCCCAACACCCTGGGAGCAAAGCCCAGCCCTGGCCATTAAGCCAAGCCCAGCAGCACCAGGACCTCTCCCAGCACCCTGCAGTTTGGTTTTCCTCTGCCCCAGGGGAGGGAATGAGAAGGACTCCAGTACTGAGATTAGCTCCTGCCCCTAGCTGAGACCAGACCCACAGAGATTCCCGCTGCTCCGGCACTTGTCATGGCTGGGGCGAGCATCCAGCACAACCAGAGCCCACATGGAACTGGGCTTCGCGGGGGACCCCGGCCACCGGCTCCCCTCCATGGCACAGCCTCTCGCTTCCAGCCTCAAAAGACTGCGTAAACTTTTGGAGCCGGCAGCTTCCCTCTCCAGGCAGGAGGGGACGGGACGGGAAGCGGCTATTTCTGGAGCAGGTATTTCCCCTCGCCGCTGCTCTGCACGCAGGCAGGGGACTGCGGTGGGGAAACCACAGCCCGGCAGCATCCGCTCTCCCTGCCGGCGCTGAGTCACCGGTCCGGCACAGGCAACGGCAAACAGCTTCTGCTCTGAACGAGCAGAGGGAGGAGAGCAGCAAGCGCTAACCCCACTGCTGCAGAGCCTGCCCCGGTACCCCAAAGGCTCCGTTCGGGGATGCTGCTGGGAAGGGGAGGGAGAGGAGGGCTCACCTTCGTGGACAGCAATGATGTGGGGGTGGTTGAGGGAGGACATGATCTCAATCTCTCTCCGGATATGGACAAGGTCCTGTTCATCCTTGATTTTGTCTTTCCGGATTGACTTGATAGCCACCTGCGGATGAGAACATGCACAGAGGGTCACCCGGCTGTTGGGGTCAGGAGCATTGTGGCTTCCCAAAGCCTGTTGCAGAGCAAGAAACCCACCCCCCTCTTTCGGGAAGGGGCTCACAAGCCAGAGATCAATGGCCCAGCTTCTCCACCCAGGCACGCTGTATCAGAGAGCCATGCTGCACGCCTCCGCTGAAGCAACTCCAATAAAAGTAAACTTTATCAATTAGGTTTTTATTCTCTCCAAGTCCTGTTGCTGTGCACAAGGGAGAAGCTCCCCCCCGCCTCCCTCCCAAGAGAAACCTGCTGCCAGCTCCTTCCACAGGTAGCGCAGCCCTGCTCCTCATTTATGTGCTGTGGCTTACAGGAATTGTGTCCCAGGCTACAGCCGCTGCTGGACCGCGGCCAGCTAAAGGAATGTGACCTGCACACATGACTTGGAAGATAACAACAACAACGTCTTCTTGGGGTCGTGCAAATGAAAAAAAAAAAAACAAAAAACAAACCAAAAACCAGGTTTCATTTTCCTCGCTAATACTTATTTCAAGGAGCTGATTATGCAGAGGTAAGAGAAAGTTTGGTATTAAAGAGTAGATTCCTCCTAGGCACAGGACTGTGCTCCAGCCGCTGGGAGACCCAGCGCCGACGATGCGAGCCGCTTTCCAGGCTTTCACTTGGGTTTTCAAGTTATCCTCTACAAGGAAATTGAAAGGGGAGGAGAAAGAAGAGTAAGTGCTGGAGAATAGATGCCTTCTAATCCTCTTTCAAAGGGGCTGGGAAGAGACAATGTGCTCCTAGGGTTGAATTTACAACTGAATCCAGCAGAACCTCTTTTTTTCTATCAGACAAGAATGTGGAACAGCATTAATCCTGTAAAGGGACCCCCACACCGGTCTCCCAGCAACGGGGAGAGGGGCCACAGACACCCGCCGGCTCCAGCTGCCAGCACAGGAGCGATGCTCATGGCTGCGCCGCACAGGGACCCCCGTCCGCCTTCGGCTGTGCGGCATGGATGCTCGGCCTCGTCTCCCTCTGATTTAGGGGAGTGGGAAACATTGCTCCTCAAGACCTAGCCCACCAAGCAGCAAAAGGCTCAGAGCAAGTTTGCGACCCTTGCTAAGCACTCACAGCAAGTCACCAGACGCTAAAGCGGTGAGATCTCAGCTGCCACATCAGCGTCTTCACGGGAGAAGGACATGCCCACGTTAAGGGCTCAGACGGGCACGTGAGAGGTGGCCGATGGGGTCCCTTTGGCCCCAGAGCACATCTCTGCTGCACTGGGCCACTTCAGGCCAGCACTGGCCAGGGCAGGGGTTGCCTCCTGTGCGCTGTGCCTGCACCAGCCCCAAGGGTTGAAGCAACCAAGCAGAATGGACTCTGGCCAAGGGAAGTTCAATAACCCAGGCCCAAGTTTCTGTACAAAGCAATACTGAAAGCACTTAATAGCTTCTTGAAAGCCAGGTATTCTTTTCCCCAACCTTTGCGCTAGGTTAACAGGTTAAAGTTTAACAATTTTTTGCTCCAGCCCCTGATTACCTGACCCCCGCTAGCATGCGGGCAAAGCCTTTATGCAGCAAGTCAGCCTGCTCCTGCCCTCCCAAATTCCTGTTGACTCACTCTATTCATCTCCCCCCATAAAGCCTGACATCCAGCCCAACAGCTTCAGCATTTTGGGGTGTATGCAGCACATTTGCTCGCTGACCAAGACGCTCACTCACATACACCGCTGAGCTGCGGCTTAGGGCAAGATCCACTGTCCTTAAAAAGACAAAGTGGCCCCAGGCTGCCAGCACAGGAAGGCTTAGGAGATGCCACCGGCTGTATTCAGCAGAGTGCTGGAGAACGCCCTTGCCTACGAGCCTGGCAGTTAGTGACCTCCAAGGCAGCCCCGGAGTCAGGGCTGCAGCAGAGAGCAGGTTTAGGGTGCTGCTAGAGCCCTGGGGCTCTCCTTCTTGTGAGTGCTGCCCGCAGGCAGGCACAGCGAGGGTACGGCACCGTTAGGGTCCACATCTCATACGACAGAGACTGAACCAGCCACTCAGGGTGGGATGATTTATCTGCCTGTCAAACCCTGCCGGGGAGGCTAATCCCTTGGCCATCCCATCCTTCCCCAGGGGTGCTGAGAAGCGGCTTTGTTCCGAAACACCCCCTACCCAAGAAGGCTGACAGCAGAGGATCTCCCCTCGAGACACAAAAGCCTGTGCCCGGCCACCCTGGAGATGGGGACCAGCAGCTTCAGGGGCAGACACTGCCACAGCCTCCACACTGCCTCCACCATCAACGCTATGAGAAGAATCTCCTGCAGGAACCAGCCCCAAGAAGTCCCGCTGCAGGAGACTAGAGAACTCGAGAGTACTTTCCAAGTCAAAAAGGCTTTTAATTAAAAGTTTTTTGGGGGCAGAACAGGTATTTTCAGCAGCTGCTGAAAGATGCATTAAGCTACAACCCCAGGCAGCACTTTAGAAGTTGTTCCAGATTGCAAGTGCAGCATTTCATGCTCCATGAAATATGGATTACAACCCACTACGGAAGAGACCGGGGTTCACCCCTTACTGGAGATCAAAAGAGACTTTGCTGCTTTGGAATATTCCAGGTGCTGCCTTCCCCTTGACACCACGCAAGCCCACAACTACGTTTCTGACACCGCAAGCGAGTCCCACAGGAGGTCCCTCTTTCTATTTGACTTGGCTGCAGGCCAGGGCTTGGGAACCAAGCTGGGAGAAACACCAGGCTGGGAGAAAAAAAGGCCAGATGCTGCCATGCAAACAGGTGCAGGAGCCAATTTGCACCACCACGGCACACATTACTAAATATTCAAACCAAAAGATGCAGGGAAAAAGAAAACAAACAAAAAAAAAAAAGGAAAGGAAAGGAAAAAGAACCAGCAACTCTCTCCCCACCTGCCTGATATTTCAGGGGCACAACAATTTTGCAAGGACTGGGAAGGGCACTCAGCAGAAGTACCCACTAAAAGGTGTGAGCATCATTTCACCTAAAGGATTTCTAACCAGAAAACAAAGTTTATTTTCAGACAAAGAAGGTTCATGAAGTCCCCAAAAATCCTTCAGCTGTGGGAGCCTGGTCTTCCCTGCAGTCTACCAACTGATCAGACACACCTTGCTCCAAGCTAAGTCCAGGTAGGTTGGTTAAAATTCAGAGGCAAAAAGAAAGCCAGGCAGTAAAACCAGATGGTTCAATATTCAGTGCATCTGACAGAGGCAGTTTCTGATTAGCCAGAGGCAAAAACCATGCACAGAGCAGCTCCAGCTTTACAGCCTCAGCCGGTAAGGTCGGATCCCCACAGCCCACGAGGGGTAACTGGTGGAGGCAGCAGTACCTGCTCTCACACCTCGGTGTTTAGGAAGTGAAAGCCACTTAGAGAAGGAGCAAATAACAACCCAGCTCAGGATAAGCCTAAAGATTAAACAGGTCCGGAAATGCTGAGTGCTACAAGAAAGAATTTGTGGGAAGAGGAGAGATTTGCGGTTAAGCCTCCTGTTCCTACATGGCCAGCTCGCTGAGGTACTAGTTAGTCAAGCCTTTGACTATCTCCAGCATTTATTGAGGAGTCATTGGCCTGTGTATTTAATTTGCATTATAATAGACCAACGCTGCTAGACAAACGAGTCCCTGTCCTAAGGGGCTTCCCCAGATAGGTAAGTTTTCTGGCAGGTCAGAGATTCCCCGCACAAGCTTTGTTAGGTGCAGACAGGGAAATCCAAGTCTTCTCGCCCATCCCGAGGGGAGGGACCCTTCTAGGTCTGTGGGTGGAAGCTGCATTTCAAGGCCCTGATTATGCAGCAAAACAGCAGCTTCTTCAGAACCAGATAGGCTAATGGAAATGGCAGATCTGATTTAATTAAGAGCTGTCGCCTTACACAAGAAAACCTCTCAGATTTACGGTTGTTTTCCTTGACGTGCCTCAGTGGCACGTTAGTGATCCAATCTCACGCCCTGCTCTTCTGCTCAGCCCACAGAGCCTTACTGGGCCAGTCTCGCCGCTCACAGGCGGACCCTCGTTGCTCACCCACGGTCTCAAGACGGGCTGGCGTTCAACCGCCTTTCTTGGGTCCCATCCCACACCGCAGGGTGCTCGGGACCGAACAGGGGCAAGGAAATCACACTCAAGTTTGCCCTTCGAACCCTTGCAGATTCCTAAAGGACAAGCCTGCCAGAAGAGCAGCACCCCGCTTTCCTGGGGGGTGGGGGTCCCCCACCTTGCCCTGCACACTTCCAGCACGCTGGATGGCCGTGCTCCGGGGTCGAGCCGTGCGTTGCACGGAGCCACTTGTTTCGGAGGGGCTGAGGCGTCGATGGACTGAGTCACGGTTTCAATCAGACGCTCGGGGGGGCTCGGCTTTGCTTGTGTGCCGCACACCCACCGCTGCCGAGAGCCAAGAGGCAAAACCAACCGAGAACCAGGGCAAGAGGAAGGGGGAAAAAAAAAACCCAACCCTTCAGACTCAAGTGCAATGTTTGCTCTGCGCTGCCGGATATCTGCAGGCTCCTTTCCCCCAGGAAGCCTGACACGGTCAAGTGGGCAAAAGAAGCTGCAGTCCCCTCCCGGGGGGGGATGCGAGGCCCCTCCGGGCTCCCCCCATCCTTCAGCCCGGGCCCGGCAGCACCGCAACCTCCCCGCACGCTGCACCGGGAACGGGGCCGGGTGAGGGCTGAGCCTTCCCGGTTACCGGAGAACCGGGGCCGGGGGGACCGCAGCGGGACCGCTGGGGGATGCTCCGGCTCCCGGGGAGGATGCACCGGAGACGGAGAAATCCTTACCAGTTTACCGGAGCGCTCCCGGGCTTTTTTCACCTTCCCGTAGGTGCCTTTCCCTAACGTTTCCAGGAACTCGTAGCGGTGTTTGAGGTTGTGTTTATGGTGGTGCCGTTTCACCGCCTGCTTCTTCATCAACGGCCGCGGGGATTTAATGAGCCCCTCGGCCAGCGAGGCGGCCAGCGCTGGGCTCGGTCCCGGTCCCGGTCCCGGTCCCGGTCCCGCCGCCCGCTCCATGCTTCTCTCCCAACCCCGGCTCCGCCGCCTCCCGCCCCGGCCGCTAAATGCGGCGGCCCCGGCGGCCGCGCCCCCCCC